GTCTTGATGGTTCATTTACTCTTCCATTTTGAGGAAGAAACTAGGGGGAGGAGGTGTACGTAGAGGGCATTTTGTGCTAGAGCGCCTAGCCAGCTCTTTTCTGGGCAAGCTTTATAACTCATCCCTTTGTAACTCACTAATAGACACAAACATTGAGGCTCAAATTCACCCTGATTTGGGAGCCTAGAGCCAGGATTTGGTTTTCATCAAGCTCCCTGGGGAGCCAGGGTTTATATCTTTATCTCAGCAAGGAGTATGGATATCTGGATATCTTCTTTCTTCATTCTAGAAGATTCTTCCAACCAGGCTTTCCATCCAGATTTGTTTCCTTGCTTCCTTGTTTCTCCATTAGGATGAGAGGGAAAAGAATCTCATTCTGGATACCCCTTACCTTTCTTCTTCTTCTCCTCTTCCTCACCCTCATTGGCCCCCAACAGAGTAAAGATGATTCCAGTCTGGGAGTTGATACCCACAGCAGTCACTACCATCCGGCCAGAACCTTCCATGACATGGGTTCCTATATAGAAAAGGAGAAGATGGAAAGGAGTGTTTCTAGATTTTTTTATTAATACTTAGCCCTGATTAACTAACACAAACTTAGAAGAAAAAAATAATCCCCTACTGCCGGATAATGATATACTTAGCCTAGTAGGAAAAGATTTGGCCCATTTAAAACAGACCAAGCAAATTGGTAGTAACGAGGAAAATGTATCTAACTATTTTAGGGTAAACCCTTCCTCTGCCCCCTTCCCACACAACCAGTAGACCCCTCAATGCCTTCACAGCATTTGTTTCATGGAAAATCTCATTTGGGGCTGGGCATGGTGGCTCACACCTGTAATCCAAGGACTCTTAGAGGCCGAGGCAGGTGGATCACCTGAGTTCACCAGTCTGAGCAAAAGCAAGACCCCATCTCTACTAAAAATAGAAAAATTAGCTGGGTGTTGTGATAGGCACGTGTAGTCCCAGCTACTTGGCAGGCTAAGGCAGAAGGACTGCTTAAGCCCAAAAGTTTGAGGTTGCTATAAGCTATGCTGCCATGGATCTTGACCAAGGGTGACAAAGTGAGACTCTGTCTCAAACAAAACAAAACACTCCACTCATTTAGATTGACGGATGTCCCTGTGTTCCACCTACCAATACTCTGTTACCCCAGTTGAACCCAAGGGAAGGAGATAGAATAGAGCCAGAAGAGAGAATAAGGGTCTGGATCCTGTGGCCAGGAGAGGAGAGACAAAATGGGAACTTTGGTAGCCAGAGGCTGTACCTGAGAGCAACATGGGGTCACTTTCCACAGACTTCTTGACATGGTCTGATTCTCCTGTCAGAGAGCTTTCATCAATCTTCAGGTCATTCCCCTGGATCAGGATCCCATCTGCAGGTAGCAGGTCACCTAGTACACAAAGGAAAGGGGACACAGTGAAGGAGGGTGAGTGAGAGCCTGGCCAAGCGTGGGGACCTCCAACTTCTTCCACTCCATCTCAGGTTGCTCCCATTGGCTGTACCATTCAAGCAAGGGCCCAGGGAGTATCTGAAAGCCTTTATTAGACAACTAAAGCTCTCTACAACCCAGGACAAGACTCCTTCCCAGGTATTATAAATTCAAACTGTTACCAATTCCTAAAAACCTTTCCATGGCTTGAATATTGTACACTTTTAACCCTAAGACACACAAGGGACAAGTGTGACAATCATTGGGGAGGGTTTCAGCTACTGCTTTCTGTGAAATTGCTTCCCATAACTTCCTTAAATGCTAATGTAGAAGCCAAGACAATTTGGGATCTTTTTGGGTTTTCAGCAATTCTTTGCCCTCTCATGCCAAAGGATCTACCCTTCAAATGTGGGGTGGTGGTCATGGTGGTCTAAGCACAAGAACCATGGAGCTCTCACCATATTTAACTTGAGCGATATCACCCACCACGATCTCAGCCACAGGAAGCTGGATGAGGTGACCATTTCGGATAATGGAGAATTTTTGCTCCTGTTCAATGCGGCTCTGCAGCCCCCGAAATTGCTTCTCTTTGCTCCAATCATTAAAGGCAGTCACTAACACCACGACGATCACTGAGAACAGGATGGCTGCCCCTTCGATCCAGCCAGCTTCTGCCTCCTGTGCGTCTTCTGGGGTAGTTGCAATTTGACCACACTCTGTGCCAGGGAAGGGAGAGAAATAGTTAGAGGGGCTTTTGTTCACATTCAGAACTGAGAGTGGTACTTCCACAGTCCCCTTTCAACATGGAAAGTCAAGGAAAGAGAATAGAAAATAAAATTCCTGAATAGAAGAGGATATCAGAGGACAGCAGGACTGAGTGTTGTCACAGCACCAGTAAACTATTCGCGTTAACCCCAAAGAAGCAAATGACTAAATAGAAGAAAATGTCAGTGCAAATTGTAGGTAAGTCATATGTAAGCTTACACTTAATGATTCTCAACATGGTGAGGCTCCCACTGCTATTTACCATAATGCCAGATAATTGGTAGGGACATTTTGAGATGCAGGGCTTTGTTGGTTGGGTAAAGGTAGTGAATCCATGACACCATGAATAAGGATTTAATGGGAGAAGGGGCGGGGGAACCTCTGGAAAGGAGTAGGGCACCAGCCCCATATGCTAGAGGTGGCGGGTTCAAACCCAGCCCTGGCCAAAAACTGCAAAAAAAAAAAAAAA